CTCATAGACTACTTGGCTACTCCTATATCCCTCCCACAGTTTTTCTGTATATAAGGTCCATCTTGTCTCCATTAAGATGCACAGATTTTCACAATCTATCCAACAGCCCATAGATGCTCAGATTCCTTAAGAGTCTGGCTTATATGGTGAATCTTCAATAAACTGTGTTTTTGGCTGAAAGGAGGCTTGGGTTGAAATCTTTCAGGCAGGCCCCGTGTGTCATGATTTTGGGATTCCAAGACTCCTAACCTCTAGACCTCATCAAAACTGCTCATAAGATTGCAAATTATAATGGTGATTTTTGTGAGTTGGACACCAACTCATTCCAATCAACAATCTGAAAGGTCTGATGTTACACAAAGGTCATGGTTGCATGTAACTAAGAACTGATCTGGGCAGATCTCTGAGCAGTGAATTGCTGAAGGGCAGTCAAAACCAGTTAAAAGGAGGACTATGGAAACCAACTGAAGAAAGAAAGGGATATCCTCCACACGATTTTGTAAAACAAACTTCACTTGACCCTCCCTGTGCTGCCACTCCTAAGCCTCCTCCAGCTCTCTCTAAGGATTTTCCCTTGAGAAATACATCTACCCCAGTCTCCCCTATATTCCTCTTGGGCACTTCCTGTACTCTAGTGCTGCTGCTGCATGGTAGCCCTGGATCTCCATCCCCTTATCTCCATCAAAGATCCTAGTTTTTGCTACTTTGATAGTATTCTTTATTTCAGATTGACATCACTAACTAACTATCATATTGTAATGAAGTCACTGTTTTCCGTTCCATCTCCTCCAACAGATAGCTGCTTCTGTCATCCCTACTTTCTCACTTCAGTATTCAATTTCTCCATTTACTGGTTCCTTCCTTACTACCTACAACCATGCCCTTGTCTTCTTCATTCTCATCCTCTTCATTGGACCCTTCCATTCCTGCTAACTACTGTCCTATAACTCTTCTCTCCTTTGCAAATAAACTCCTTGAAAAGACTATCTACAATAGGTGCCTCCATTTTCTCTCCCCTTAGTCTCTTCTTAAACCCCTAAAATCAGGCTTCTGATTTCATCATTCCACCAAAAATGCTCTCTCCAAAGTTACCAATTGGGTATGAGGTCTAAACCCCTAAAAGGAAAAGACCATGCCTTTGGGATCTAAACCCCAAAAAAAGAAAATCCCTGGACTTTTCCCAAATCTCTGGTGTTTACCTGAGGCTGTAATCCACTCCACTGGCCTTTCACTGTGACTACACCCAATCTCCCAATTCTTCTCTGTTACCTCCCCATTGCCCCTGGCCACTTCTCACCTTTAATCCTATCTAGACTCCATTCTCCCTTAGCCACAAGGTCCAGGTCCCTGCTGTTCTGTTCGCCTTAGCTTACTGGCCACTCTCTTCCAAATCCTCCTTAGCCTCCTCCTCCAGTCATCCTAGACTACTTGGTCACTCCTAGATCCCTCCCAAAGTCTTTCTGTATATAGATTTATCTTGTCTCTTTTAAGGTGCTCAGATTCCTTAAGAATTTAGCCAAGAGCTCAGATTTTTATAATCTAGCCAACAGCTCACAAATGTTCAGATTCCTTAAGAGTCTGGCCAACATGGCAGATCTTTAATAAACCTTGTCTTTGGCTGAAAGAAGGCATGGGTCGAATTCACATGTGATTTTTGGGGTCCCAGCACCCCTAAACCTCTAAACCTCAACACAATGATCTCCTAATTGCCAGATCCAATGGCCTATGCTCAATCCTCATTCTCCTAGACCTTTCTGCACTGAAACTGTTAATCACTCTCTTCTCCTTAATACTCTTTTCTCTCTAGGTTTTCAAGACACTACTCTCTCCTGGTTCTCCTACTATCAGACCACTCATCACTTTCTTTTGCCGGATCCTCATCCAGGTTATGCCCTCTAACCATAGGTACCCCACAGAGCTCTGTCCTTGGGCCCTCTTTACTTTTCCCTTTATACAATTTCACTTGGTGATCTCATTAGCTCCCATGAATTTCATTTTCATCTCTATGCTGATGGTTCTCTAAATCTACCTATATTGCCCTAATCTCTTTGCTCACCTCTAGCTTTATGTTTTGTGTAGCCTTTTAGACATGTTAAACTGACATGTACAAAACTGAATTCATTAACTTTCCCCAAAATCCTCTATCCCTCTAAACTTGCCCAATATTGTCGAGGGCATCATCTTCCCAGTCCCCCAGGTTCAAACCTAGTCATCCTTAACTCCTCACTGTCTTTCACCCTCCATATCTGGTCTGTGGCCAAGGTTAATAAATTTCACCTTTGCAATATCACTTAAATATGCCTCTTCTCTCCTCTGATACTGCCACCACCCTGGGGCAGTCAGTCAATAAACATTTATTAAGTGCCTCTATTTATATTCCAGGCATTGTGCTAAGCTCTGGGGATATAAAAAGAGGCAAAAGACAGCTCAAGGAGCTCACAACCTAATGGGGAAGACAACAAGCAAATATATACAAACAAGCTATAAGAGGGAATGGGAAAGGTTTCCTATAGAAGATGGGACTTGGAGGAAGCCTGGGAAGCCAGGAGGCAAAGATGAGGACAGAGAGCTGTGGTTGTCTCTTGGAGACTCAAAGCTCCCAGCCCACCTTCTGCTCCAGAGTTCTTCAGAAGGACATTATTGATAATGTGATTGCATTGAATCTTCTCATCCTGGTCAAACTCCAGCCCAGGCCTGAATTGATTTTATCCTACTCAGGCTTGAGTAGAGACAGATTCTTCTGCCTAGATAGCTGAAGACTGGGGGTGGTCTGATAGAACAAGTCAGGATTAAGTGACCTAAATCACCAACACCTCGTTTTAATATAATCCACATCCCAGTGTTGTGACAAATCAGAGTTGATTGGCATCCCTTGGGAACACCTACTCTTCAAAGGTCATATAACCCTGTACCCCCAAATCCCAAATTGAGCCAGTTTTGAACTGGCCCCTTTAGAGGTGGCCCCATTTTGGACTGGACTCCTATGTAATACATGTCAAGCCAACTTGAGAGAAATTAAACCGTGAACACATGCGCCGTGATTTCATTTGTCTCTTTCTTAGACTACAACAAATTGGGGTTCAGCATAACATTTCAGCCCTGAAGGAAAGTCAGTGAAAATGCCAGGAGTCAGGAGAAAGAGTGTTTTTTGTGAGGAATAGCCAAGGAGGTTAGTGCCATTAGATCTCATAGTATGTAGGGTATAAAAAGACTAGAAAGATAGGAGGGGGTCAGGTTGTGAAGAGCTTTGAACATCAAACAGAGGATTTTATATTTGTTCCTGGAAGCAATAGAGAACCACTGTAGTTTATTGAATAGGGGGAGGGGTGACACGGTCAGATATTAAAGGCATTCTTATTTCCATTTTAGAGATATGAAAATGATTGACTTTCCCATGGCTGCATAGAAGTCAAAGGGAGAATTTGAACTGAGGTCTGTGAGTGCTTTTGAATCCCACCTCTGCCAAGGTTGAATTTGGGGTAGTGAATTCATCCCTCAGTGGCCTTTGTTTCAACATCTGTATAGTGAGATGACTCCACAATTCTCGTTCTAAATCTATGATCCTACTAGGACTTCATTACTGGATTCTTTAATAAGTGCCTTTTTGTAAAGAGCTTTGGAATACAAATTCAGCAGACATAAGCAATATTCCTCTAGGACATTGGAGGTTGTCCTTGCCAGCTCTATTTTTAGTAATGGCCCAAACATTACATTCTCTGAGGTATTATTATATATTGTTGTTGTTGAGTCATTTCAGTTGTGTCCAAGTCTTTGTGCTCCCATTTTGGGGTCTTCTTGGCAAGAATATTGAAGTGGTTTGCAATTTCCTTCTCTACTTCAATTTACAGATTGAGGAACTAAGGCAAACAGGGTTAAGTGACTTGCCCAGGATTACACAACTAGTAAGTATCCAAGGCCAGATTTGAACCCATGAAGATGAGCTCTGGTTCTAAGCCCAGTGCTCTAACCACTGTGCCACCTAGCTGACCATTTATATCTATATATGAAAACCTAAAGGCTATTTTTAAGAAAGACTGACAATAAGCAATTTTGGCAAGAACATCCCTAAAACATTTATGTATGTAATACAAACACACACACACACACACGCACACACACACACACACACAATTACCTTCTAAAAATTTATGTGGAACTCAAATCTCTTAAAAGGACTTTATAGTGAAAAAATCTGTTCCTTCTGAGCAATGCTATATAGGGCACTAGCTTCACAAAATCATTAACTCTTCCCTCCAGTTCCCTTAACCATTTCCACAAATCTCTCAATGTCTCTTCTATCTCTATTGTTCTGTGATTCTACTTTTAACCTTTTTGATCTGAGTTCTTAATATACATGAACAACAAGCATGGGTGTGAAATGAATTTATACCCTCCCTCTCTCCAGGAAAAAGAGTAATTCCTGTCTGCAGTTACCATTTTATCAGTCTCTAAAGCTTGTCTCAGACACTTAACTGTGTGATCCTGGGCAAGTCATTTAACCTTATTTGCCTCAATTTCCTCATCTGTAAAATGAGCTGGAGAAGGAAATGACTAACCACTTCAGTAGCTTTGCCAAGAAAACCCCAAATGGGGTCATGAAGAGTCAAACACAACTGAAACAAATGAACAACAACAAAAAAAAAGTTTGGGAATTCCTTAAGAATGTCATGAAATAGACTCTTGTCTTAAACAGTTTCTTCCTTAGTTTCCTCCAGAATGATTCATTGTTTTGTTTTGTTTTTCCCCTCCTCCTAGGAAAATTCCTTAAACCCAACTCTTCAGTGTTGCTAAGCAATAAACCTCAGAACAGTTATTATTGATTGGTACTTCATATTGCAAATCTTGCTCTTAGCCAGATCTGTTATGATTCATTTTATATTTTCCTGAAGGCTGAGAAATTATCTCCCAAGTCACTAGGAATGCATAGATGTATACTGTTTCTTTCTTTCTTTCTTTTTTTAGATGTATGCACAACTCTCTGACAAAAGAAATTTACAAAGATGAAAAAGTTTACACTCTTTGATTTCACAAATGACAACTCCCTACGTGTAGGAGAGACTTCATGGATACAGGACCTTCCCAGTGATGACAAAGAAGTTGCAAGTCTACTAACAGCAAATGAAAATGTGTTAGTAAATTGGCCAGCGGAAGAGAAAAAGACAGAGAAACAGTTAGCAAAAGTAATTTCCATGAGTGGTGAGTGACATTATAAAGTATTGTTTCACTTTTTCCTTCCCACAAACATTTTGGTGGCTTTGACTACCTGCAGATAGCATCATCTGCACTCCCCATTTCCCTTTCTCCACAATCTCATTTCAGATGATCCTCAAGAGCTGGTTCAGATTATTCAGAAGATCTTAGAAGCAAATGATAAGACAGAAATACAAGGGCTTCAAAAAGGAAAAAGAAAACAAATTGAAACACTAAGCTCCAAGAATGAAGAGAGGGAAATTGATCAAGAACAGGTTGGTTTATGTTAATTTGATAAAATTTAAATTCTGCAGCAGTTTATTAATGAACTTATCCTGCCTAAGTAACTTCACAGTGGGTAGTGTATGAATATGGTAGAGGCATTAATTTCAAAGAGCTATTTTCTTACCCTAGGTACCAAAAAGGCATTTTAGGGACGAGCTAACCCTTTGGCTACTACTAATAATGAACTGACAATAGGGAAGAAGAGTTGTCAGCAAATTCACAAATTAGAGCCCAGTTATATCAATTCCATTTCATCAAACTCTCTAGCATATATAGCCTTCTTTCTCCTCACTGAGACCTGACTCTTTTCTGGTGAAGCAGCCTCCCTGACCACCCTTTCCAACACTGGTTGTACTTTCATTTATTTTCCCTGACCCACTGATCTAGAAGGGGAATTTAGAATATTCCTTGTTCTCCATCGCCACTTCCAGGTTCTCTCTCTACCACCATCATTCAGAAATGTCTCTGTCTTTGAAGTTCATTCAATCCAGATCTATTACCCAGTCCAAATTCTGGTAGCTGTTGTGTAGCAACCTCCATGACATTACCCTTCTTTCCTCAGTGAGTTAAGTGACTGCCTCACCATCTTTTCCTTTCTCCTTAACTTCTGCCTTCATACTAGGGAACTTCAACATACATATTGATACTTCCCCAAACATTCTTATCTTTCAGTTATTCAACTTGCTCATTTCCCATGAACTATTCCTCTACCTCACTTCAGTCACTCACAGAGATGGCCATACCCTTGATCTTGTCATCACCCATGTATGCTCCACTTTTATGTTTATGAGCTATGAAATTCACTTGCAAGTCATGACATCACTTTCCCCATGTCATGGTCCTCTTCAAGAACAAAGGACAAACAGCAACAAACAAACAACAACAACAATTGACAGATCAAATAAATTAAGAATTTGTTAGTAACTTTGGAGACAGCAGTTTTGATTGAATGATCAGATTGTAGAGGAGTAAGAAGACAGTGAGAGAAAAGGAAGTAGAGCCCCCTAGGATAGGTGGCCTTCTCAAGGAGTTTAGCTACAAAAGGGTGAAGAGACACGGAATGATAAGTGGTGAGGATGGATGAATCAAGTGATGATTTTTGAGGGCATGTTTGTAGGCAGTCAGGAAAGAAACTGACAGGGAGAGATTGAAGAAAAAAAAGTAAAGAGGTAATAAGGAGGACAGTTTACTGGAGAAGAAGGGATAGAATGGGATTGTTGGTGCATGAAGAGGTGTTTGCCTTGGTAAGAAGTAGGGCCACTCTTTGTGTGACATGGGATGAAGGAGATAGTGGCAGAAGGCATCTGATTGATATGAGCTGAAGGAGAGGGGAGAAAGAGGGCTTCATAGCAAATGGTCTCTATTTTTCTCTGTAAATATGAGGCAAGTTTCTCAGCTGAGAGGGTAGGGAGGGGAAAAGATATGGAAGGTTTGAGGAAGGATGAAAAGGTTTAGAAGAGCTGCTGTGGTAAGTGGATAGTGAGGCAATTAGTGAGGTATAGAAAGATTGCCATGCAGTAATGAGGGTCCAGTTGAAATTATGTATCATAATTTGTAGTGGAATAAGATTTTTTTTCCCATCTTCATTCAATAGCATGTGAGTGGGAGCAAAAGTAGCAGATTTGGCAGGGCAAGGATGGAAAATAGGATAAAGGATGAAGGAGTTCAAGAGAAGAGGATCGCATAGAGTTCAACTGGTTCACTAAGCAGTCAATATAGGGAAGGGAGGGAGATAAACTGAAAAGAACTAAGAGGTTGAGGAATTAGAGGTCATGGTGAAGATAACTTGTGAATGGTGAACAGAATTTGGGGATGCAGGGCAGAAGGAGGTGGTATGACAGATTGAGTGTAAATGACATTTGTTTCTGTTTTGGTCAGAAATCCTGAGGGTCTTCCCCTCCCAGCTTAATTTTTTTTTTCACTAGGTAAAAGAGACCATTCTTTGCCTCATTTCTCACCTAGCCTTAATCACTGAATGGGCATTGCCTTAAACAAACTGAGACCTGGGAAAGACCTTAGCTTAAAAAGGCCAAGGTCTCTTACTGCATCCAGGGTCATCTCCAGTTATCCTGATCTATATCTTGCCACTGGACCCAGATGGCTCCAGAGGAGAGAATGAGGCTGGTGGTTTTGCACAGCTCTGCCTCACTTAAATCCAATTCACTTGCAAGTCATGACATCACCTTCCCAATGTCTGTGGTCCTCTTCTAGAACGAACAACAATCAACAATCTGTGAGTATTAGTAGCTGCCCTACTGGGGACCCAACCAACTAATTCCAATTAGGCAATGCAGCTCCTTTCTTCCTTTCTTCCTTCCTTCCTTCCTTCCTTCCTTCTTTCCTTTCTTCCTTTCTTCTTCCTTTCCTTCCTTCCTTCCTTTCTTCCTTCCTTCCTCCTTTTCTTCCTCCCTTCCCTCCTTCCCTCCTTTTCTCCTTCCTTTTCTCTATATCAATCTGTCAATAAATATTTATTAAGTACCTACCTGGCACTGCACTAAGTGCTAAATTACCAAATCTAACGGCCATCTTGACCTCTCTAATCTGTTAATTACCTTCTTGCTGCTCTCTTCTCTCTGGCTTTTATGACATTGTTCTCTCCTGGTTCTTCTCTGACCATTGTCTGATTTGTCTGAAATTATCAGATTATTTGTTTGACCATTCTTCCTCATCTCTTTTGCTCAAGCTTCATCTAGTTCATGCCTAGTAACCATAGATGTCCCAAAGTGCTCTTTCATGGTCCCTTTCTCTTCTCCCTCTATACTATTTCACTTCATGATCTCATCAACTCCCATTGATTCTATTATCACCTCTATGCTGATGATTCTCAAATCTTTTTATCCAGCCCTAACTTCTCTGCTGACCTCCATATTTTGCATCTTTAACTACTTATCGGACATCTTTAACTAAACATCTTGTACACTTACTGAACTAGATATCTTGTAGACATCTTAAACTCAACATATCCAAAACTGAACTTATTAACTTTCCCCGTAACTTATTTCTTATTAATTTTCCCCTTTTCCTAACTTTCCTGTTACTGTTAAGGTTACTACCATACTCTCATCACCAGGCTCACAACTAGGTGTCATCATCAACTCTTCACTATCTCTCACCCTACCCCTCACCCTCATATCCTGTCTACTGCCAAGACCTGTCAATTTTACCTTCATAATATCTCATATACCTTTTCTTCTCTTTTCTGATGTTGCCACCATTCTGACGGCAGCCCTTATCACCTCAAGACTAGATTACTGAAATACCTGCTGATTGGTCTCCCAGCCATTCCCATCTTTCACCACTCCAGTCCATTCTCCATTCAGCTACCAAAGTGATCTTCCTTAAGTGCAGGTCTGACCATGTTACCCATTCATTAAAGTCCAGTGGCTTTCTGTCACCTCCAAGATCAAATATAAAATCATCTGTTTGGCATTCAAAGCCCTTTAAAACCTATCCCCTCCCTACCTTTCCAGTTCTCTTACACTTCATATCTTCCATTCCCCTCAAGTCTCTACAATCCAGTCACACTGACCCCCTTGCTGCTCATAAAACAAAACACTCCACCTCCTGAACAAACATTTTCACTGGCTGTTCCCCATTCCTGGACTTCTTTCCCTCCTCATTTCCCTGGATTCCTTCAAATTTCAGCTAATATACCACCTTCAACAAGAAGCTTTACCTGATCTCCTTTAATCCTAGTGCCTTCCCTCCACTGGGGCAGCTAAGTGACATAGTGGATAGAGCACTGAGCCTGGAATCAGGAAGACCTGAGTTTGAATCCAGACTCAGACACTTACTAGCAGTGAGACCCTGGGCAAATCACTTAACTCTATTTGCCTCAGTTTCTCATCTGTAAAATGAGCAATGGCAAACCACTCCAGTAGCTTTACCAAGAAAACCCCAAGTGGGGCCACAAAGAGTCAGATGCAACTAAAAAAAACCGAACAACAACAAATCCCTCTCTTGATCATCTCCAGTTTATCATGGGTATAAATTGTACATAGTTCTTTGCTTTTTATCTCCCCAATTAGACTGCAGACTCCTAAAGAGCAGAAATTTTCTTTTGCCTTTCTTTATATTTCTGGGGCTTAATAGGGTGCTGTAGTAATTAAGTAATGCTGACTGACTACCACAACCATCCTAGTCTACCTTTCACCTGGACTATTATAATAGCTTCCTAATTGGCCTCCTATAGCTAGGCCCCCCCTCACTCCAAACCACATTCCAACAAAGTGATTTTTCTAAAGTTCAGGTCTGATTATGTCACTCCTTGTCTCAATAAACTTCAATAGCTCTCCATTGTCTTAAAGTTAAAATACAAACTCTTCTCTTTGGCTTTCAAAACTATTTCCAGAACTACTCGAACCTATCTTTCAGGTTGATACACTCTTCACACCCAAATTGAACTTCTTGTTGCTTTCTTCAAACATAACGTGCCACCTCTTGACTCCATGCCTTTCTACAGGCTATCCCTGATGCCTTGAATGATCTTCCTCTTCACCTGCCTCCTTAAAAATCCTAGTTACCTTTGAGGTTTGCTTTAGAATCATCTCCTTCAAGAGGTTTATCCTGATTCCCCCAGATGTTAGTGTCCCCCATCCCCACTAAATCAGTATGTATTTCTTTCTGCATGTATGCTGTATTTCCTTACCTGAGAACATACATTCCCCTAATAGGATGTAAGGTCTTTGATGGCAAAGACTTACTTATTCACTTTTGTGTTTGGAAATCAGCAGTGGATAGTGCTGGGCCTGGAGTCAGGAAGAGTTCAAATCCATACTCAGATACTTACTAGCTGTGTGACTCTGGGCAAGTCACTTAACCTCTTTTTGCCTCAGTTTCCTCAACTGTAAAATGAGGATAATAATAGCACCTACCTTCCAAGGTTGTTGTGAGGATCAAATGAGAGAATAATTGCAAAGCACTTAACACAATGTCCCTACATAGTAAGTGCTATATAAATGTTAGCTATTATCATTATTTATATAAATGTTAGCTATTATTATCTCTGCACCTAGCCCCATACCTGGAATATAGCAGGTGTTTAACAAATGCTTATTCATTGATTGATAAAGAAACTCATTTATTTTCTATAGGCAGAGGAGAGGGGTAAGGAGAGAACAAGCATTTACATAGCACCGACTTATGTACCAGGCATTGTGCCAAGTGCTTTTTATAGATATTACCTCATTTGATCCTGACAGTAACCCTGTGAGCTAAGTGTTATTATTATCTGCATTTGGGGCACAGAGTCACACAACTAGTAAGTATCTGAGACTAGATATGAAGTTAGATCGTCCTGACTGCAGGACCAGCACTCTATCCACTTGGCCATTAGTACCACAGGACATTTAAGCATTGATATATGAAAATACTGAGCCTGAGTCCTTCTTAAAATAAGAACTCTCCCTAAGAGAAACTCAAATGTAAATAATACTTTATGGCTTACCAACTGCTTTCTTCTTACTATCCCTGTGACATAGAGCGGGTATTTTTATCCATTTCAGAGAAAGAAACAGACATATTAAACAAATGACCCATTACCATACAGCTACAAAGTAGCCAAGCCAATACTCTGCATTCACTTTTTTTTTTAACGTGGCACTGCATATGTGTTACCACATAATGAAAGCTAGATTCAGACAAGTGAGCAATCAACAAGCATGTTTTAAGTTGCCTACTATGTTGCAAGCACATAGTAGGTGCTGGAGATACATTTACAAGAAATTAAATAAGGACTATAGATGATGACATAAATTGGAATTTAGTTCCTTTTTACTTTTTAGTTTTTCAAAGTAATTTAATGAAATTTAAACATTTTCCCCCTTGTTTCTAGACATCATTGAACTATGAAATTAAATGTAATAAACACTGTAAAAATACATCTTTCAGGAACAGATAACAAAGAGTACAAAAAGAAAAAAGTCCCTACAGGATTCTTCTCCTGCTAACATACTGAATCAACTGGAAACACCTTTGATGGACACACTGGTAAAGCCTTCATCTTCAACAGTCTTCAGCAATAAAAGTGAAAAATCAGAAGCTATTGTCCTGAGCATAGAGCATCAGGAACCCACCTAGAGGTGTACTGGAAGGATTCATGGTTTACAAATATGTGAATATTTTAAAGATTTGTATTTATGAATTCAATAATATTCAATAATTACATAGTCATTAATAGTTTCAGAGCTTTCATGGTGACTGTTCAGTAGACCTATACATCTCTTCATTCATTCATTCATTCAAGATGAAGATGAGTAATACACAGTCCCAGGCCTATAGGAGTTAACAGTCTAACAGATGTGCATCAGTATTATGCTAGATAAAGAGAAGAAGTAATTATATCACCTTCATTGTCACCATCCTCATTATTTGATGACTACTTGTGTGACCCTTACAGAAAGATTTGAAAAACCTATCAGCTTGCCCAAATGCCCAACAACCTGCACACTATTTACTATTTCTTTAGAGACACTTTCTGGCAATATCACAGCTAACCAATCCATACCTTATGTATTGTTTTAAAATATAGATGCAATATGTGTTATAATGTTTTTCTTTTTCTTTTCTCTTTTCAGTTGGGGGTGTGCAGAAAGGACAGAAAAGAAATGCTTGTTATTTGAAAAAAAATTTAAAAATATTTTAAATCTATAGACGTGAGAGGAAGCTTAGATAGGAAGCTGACCTTGAAATCATGAAGAACTGAGTTCAAATCCAGCCTCTGACACACTGACTATATGATTCTGAGTAGTAACTTTCTAACATTATAAATTACAGAACAGCTGCTGAACTGTAACAGAAGAGAGTTTTCTCACACTACATCTTTCTCTACATCAGTAAAATCACTGGTAGGGAGGGAAAAAAATTCAAATAAGCATGCCCATGCAATTATATACTAATAAATAGGAGAAGCACATTCTTTTCTAATTGCTAATGGAAGGAGCAAATAAATTAATTTAAAAGGAAAGTAACCAGTCTTTTCCCTTTTATTTATTTCTTCTTTCTACTCATTCCTCCCGCTTTGCATTATATTTTTCCTAATAACCAATCATGCATTTTTACCAGAGTCTTATCAAATTCTCTGACTCATCCAACACTTCCAACCTTCATCTACATGAAGTGATTGAAAGTACAGTTAACTCTTCTATGTAACAACTTTCCCCATTGTGGTTTCAATATATTGGAGGTCAGCATAAGAAATTAAATGGGAACTTTGGGGGAGTTTTGCAGAAGCTGCAGATGATGCACAAAGACCCCAGCTGACACAGAAAAAGTTTTAGAAACTTAGAAATGCATAAAGTATAGATATAGTATTGCATATTTTCAAGAAAAAAAGAGAAGGAAATCTATGAGGCTGGAAGACTTCTTCTCTGGTATGATGGGAGGCCAAAAAATTTTACATGGATTTTCCAGATCACAAGGGTACTGCTCCTCTAACCTCCACAATGCAGAAGGGATAACTTTAGTTGTTATTTTTTTAATCCATTTGTAAAGCTAAACAGACATGCACAACTATAGTACCCATTACATTTATAATTCCTCTATACTTTCCCTTTTCTAATTCCTTCATCCTTTCTGAATTCCTTTTCTCAGCCTCGGAAATATAAACTCAAGTACTGTTATTAATGTTTTTGGAGCTGAATGAAAGATTTCCAGAAAGCATAGGCCACATATACTTTTAGTGAGATTCATACACAAAAATGGTTAGTAAGAGTGACTCATTTCTTCAGAACCTGCTTGCTAGTCTTTATAGGAAACAGAGACTAAGGGGATTATGCTTATGTTTATATTTAATATTTTTCCCTCTTAACATAAAATGGGTCAGGGAATGGTGTATATGTCTGTCATACAAGAAACAGCCTAGGTAAGTTGGAAAAGACTCATTACCAGTTAATCACTGGCCAGTTCTTGAATACTATCTATCAAAAGCTTTAGTGCGGTTGCTACATGTGTTGGTAGAGGGAGTATCCACAGCAATAGGACATGCAACACTAAAGAATTATAGGAAGCACCACTTCTTTGGAATTTAAAAAATTGGTATGGGTTTGTCAGTTACATGTACACTTACATTACACTAAAAACAAAAGGTTGAGTTGTGCAAAAAGTTATACCATTGGTCTATTTCTGATATAAAAACCCATAACTAAGTCTTATATCTTGTTTTAAAGTTTGGAAAGCATTTTATATGTTCTATTTGATCCTCACAATTGTCCTATGAGGTAAGTACTGTAAGTCTTATCCCCATTTTACCAATAGGGCTTAGAGAAGTTAAGAGATTTACCCATGGTCACACAGTGAGTAAGAGATGGGTGAAAGGCAATTTCACAGATAATGGGACTAGGGACATGAAGCATTGGCATATTTTGATAAAACCTAAAAATAAGTCATATGTTTCTTTAATACTCTTTCCTTTCCTTCCTTTTTTTTTTTGAAAGAGAGAATTTTCTTCTGGAACTGCCTTTTTGCCCACTGAAAGCATCAGTGATGATGAAGAGTCTTTAATCCAGTTATCAAAAGAGGAATTGTGTGCCGTAATAAAAAATCTGAAACAGAAACTCTCTGACACCATGACAGAAAACTGCCGCCTTCGGCAGTCACTGGTCACACTTCAAGGTAAAATCTGAGAGAACTTGACATTTTGGATGAGTGGGAAATCCTAATATGAATGAAAAATAATGTAAAGAGTATGTTAGGAATAATGAAAACATTTGATATTATGAATAATTCAACGAAATCATATAAGCAGTAAATATAACAAGATAAAAAAATAAATCTACAAAAATCTTCAGCATTTCTATGTGATGCTATAAAAAATCAAGAGAAAATAATTGAAAGAGAAATTTCCTTCAGGATGACTACCAAATGTGTAAAATATTTGGATATTAACCTACCAAAAAATACTGAGGATTTATATAAATAAGTCATATATGATTCTGTGATTTCTTTGATGTCAAAAATCCTGGTGAGAAAGCCCCCTCTACCAATGAAGATCAGCAACTATATGTATTTTAATGTTTTTGAGTCGTCTCCAGTACTGAGAAGTTAAGTGACTTACCCAGGGTTATACAGTCAATATGTGTCAGAGGCCAGACTCAAATAGAGTACCTCTGAGTTTCAGAACAAAAGACTTTTTATAGAAACAAAAGAAGAAAAATAATTCAATAAACATTCATTATTTATGGTTGGGCTTTGGCCAAAATAATAAAAATGACAACATGACTTGAATTAATTCTCAGATCATGTGTTATGACAAACTGCCAAGGAGTTACTTTATACAACTAGTCACAATAATAACAAAATTCTTTTAGAGGAACAAAAAATCAATAATTCAAGAAAAATAATATTTTAAAAATAGGAATAAAGGAGGTCTGGCAAAATGAGATTTCAAAGGAAATTATAAAGAAGTAATCATCAAAACTATTTGATACTGGTTAAAAGGCAAAAAAAAAATTGAAGGAAGAAAAAAAGATCAGTAGAACTGATTATATAAGAAAGAAAAATAATTTGACAGAAAATAGGTTTAGGCCAATATCTTATACAACATACCACAATAAACTTCAAATGGATAAACAACATCTACATGAAAGTTCACATAATAAAAAGACTTAAAGGAGAATATGAAAAGGTGCCTTCCAAAAATAGAAAAAAATTCTGTAGTACATTTTAGCTAAAATCTATCAAAAACAACACATTAGCATATATGTATTTCTACTTGGATCAAGGTTCAGAAAGACAGAATCTCGTGCTACTAATCATATTACCTCCCCTCACCCCCTCAATTTTGGCATTCATGCTGGTTGTTTTGAGAGAAAAAGATAAAGTGATTTTCACTTTTAATCTAACAGATACAAAGACATGATGCCATTGTCTATCAATTACTACCCAGAATACAGAGCAACTATGCCATGCATAGACTACTTACCCCTAAGTCATATATCTAATATAAATCTAAACTTTAAAAGGTTCAGTTTTGAAGGTTGCCAACCAAGCATCAGAGAATTCTTAGAGCTCCTAGTGGCTGGTGGATACTAAGGTGACAGGGAGGTGATGTCAACAGACTGGACTTAAAGTCTTCTGAACCAAGTCTAAGGATTGTTTCAATACATTTTAAGGAAGGAAAAAAAAATAAGCCCAACTTAAGTGGAGACAGAGGTTAGGATATTGCTTCCATAACAAATCTATAAATAAGATGTGCCTAAGCACTGATACCTTAATTAGGTGCCAAAGCCTCTTTGACTGGATCATAGAATCAATCAATCAATAAACCTAAAAAGTAGATAGGTATTAAGGGATTTTCCTATAAATCTACAACAGTGTAATCACATATGATCACGTTTTAATGAGTAAACAAGATAGGATTAAATGCTGCTCACTGAATCAAAGGCAAACTTCTCTCCGATTGGGTAAAGAAAGAAAGCAATGTGATTGGCTGAGAGGATCAGTCACAACTCTAGGGTCTATGTAGAAAAACACCAAGCCAGCCTTGGAATAAAGCAATCCATTGAGGGAAGATTCAAGGTTGAAAATATTTTGTGAAGGCAGATCCTTGTGCCTCTACCCGAGAGCAGAAGAGGTGGAGAGAAGCAAACATAGAAAGGGTTGTTATACTCTTCACTCCCCCCCACCTCACCACTGACCATATCACCAGAGACACTGGACAAATGAGAGATAATGTATCTAGCTAAGAGTGAGGGAAGTCAAGGAAGGAAGCAACTTCAGGGAGTATGACTTCTTGTACCAGAGAAGAATGCTGGCTATGAACTGGGAAAGGCCTTCCTGAACTAAGAGTACTGATTTTTCCCTTTGCCACACATGTTCCCTGCATGTGTCTCTCTTCCATTGCCCTTTAAGTCTGAGTCCATTCTTCTCATGGATGCTGTGTTTATTTGTGGAAGTACCCTAGGTTTTGGGGAGAATGTTTTGTAATAACTGTAATAACTGTTGTTACTATGCTGTCTTAGCCTTTGATAAGAGCTAAATGAGACTAATGATTAATTGTTAAGCAGAAGCACACTGAGAAGGGCTCAAAGAGCTACATGTTAAAAGTGAACCCTAGAGGAGTGGGGATCCAATCTTCAAGTTCTAGTGCAAGTTGGGGAGGTAGTCCCAGAGGAAGGGTTGAACAAAATATCTGAAATTCATTATATAACTCTGCTACTGAGTGAGAAGTGAAATGTCTAAGTTTACAATCAGTTTTTCATATTGCCATGTAAATCCCTGTAAGCAGCTGGTGTCTTTGTTTGGCAATGTTTGGAAATTTAGCACAATTCCACAGGACTCCTGATGAAACATGCTACCTAACTCCTCACAGAGAGATAGCTGATGGACTTGGAGTACAAAGTGGGGTGGATTTTTTTTTTACATGGCCAATATAGGAATTAGTTTTGTGTGACTATGCATACATGTAGAAGGGTTTGTTCCCCCTACCCCACTGCTTTCTGTAGTGGGAAGGGGGAGGGGCGGAGAGGTAAGAAGAGAATATAGATTTCTATTCATTGAGAAAAATTAAAACTATACACAAAAAAAAGTTTGAAGGCTTAGGGTGGAAAGAAAAAGCACTGAGAACAGTATATAGCAGGCTCTTAATAAATGCTTATTTCTTGACTGACTGACAACAGCAAAATAAAGACTACTCAGTTTTCTAGTCCACACCTCCATCTTAAGAATGTGAACAGGAAAAATTCTTTCCAAACCATACCTTTCTCCTAAGTAGCCCAAGAGGCATGACCTTCCCTAGGTTTACACTTTTACTCCAGCCCTCACTCCAGAGATCAAAAGCCCCCTAAGACCAGTCTAAGACAACTGATTCTGGCTTACCAATGACTCCATTTTCCTGGGAGGAGATGGAGTGGTACATGATCTCTTGACATGTGGTTCATTTACCTCTGCTATTTATGAATTTATAGGAATTATGAAAATTAAAACCCTAAGATTCTTATCTCAATTGACTCAACTACCATTTAGGGAAAGAAAACCTCAGTATTCTGTATAGAGGCCTAAACCTCTGATCTAGTTAGTTTTTTGGTCTATTAACTGAATAATAGCTCAAAGTGAGAACTTGAAAAAACCTTAGCTTAAAAAGGCCAAGGTCTCCCACTGCATCCTGGGCCATCTCCAGTCATCCTGATCGATATCTGGCCACTGGATGCAGATGGTTCTGGAGGAGAAAGTGAGGCCAGTGACTTTGCACAGCCCTCTCTCATTCAAATCAAATTCAGTTGCAAGTCATGTCATCATCTCCCTGATGTCATGGTCCTCTTCCAGAACAAAGGACAAACCCCAACATAACAAGACCTTGGAGTTCTCCATTGCACTACTTCCTCCTAAGCACCACCACCACCACTACCATCATGCAATTAATTAATATACATGAATCACAGATCACTTATGATTGGTTATAATTTATAAGAGACAAAAATCATGGAATAGAAAAAAATCATGTGCAAAGTGCCTGCCCACACCAGACATCGGAGAAGGGAGTTAAACTTTTACTGGCTTCTCATTGATCCCAAGCATCTATCATTGCCATCAATGTCAATCTGTTTTTGCCACTTCCATTAGAACTCTTTGTTCTAAAGAGCAAAAGGCTGTCTCCTGGAGCCAAGCCCGACATATTCAGATTCTAGTCTGATCTTATTACAAAATGCTTGCTGGGGCTTGTTCTCTCTCCAACCACCATAATAGCACAACATTTTGCCTCGGCACTTGCTGCTTTCCAAAATAAAAAATTACTACCTGTGGATGCCACAACCCTGTTAGATGCCACCACTGTTACCTCCAGAAATGGAAACTAATCTCAAGCACAGCTATTCCAACTCATTCAGAATCAAGGAGTTTGGTTTTGCCATTGCACTCCCAGATGGTCCATTCTAAGTCCCTGAACTTCCAATCCTATTAGACAGTTCTCTGTATCCTTGAGGCACTTAGGTTACTTCATGTTCTAATTTAGTTAAGAACCTGCAATTGTATGGTCTGCTCTAATTTTTTCTCTCTAATTTCTTTTAGGTGACTTTGCTTTCAATGTACTAGACAATTAAATTCTTTCAAATCATCCAGATTTGCCCAGTTAGGCCCACTGAGAAATCAAACTGCCTAATGGGAAAAGAAGTATTGCCTTTTCTCCAAAACTGTTTGTCTTACTTTTTTTTTTTCCTGAGGCATTTTATTTCCTTCAGAATATGTATAAGAGTCAAGGAGTTGATGAGTTCAATTTCCTCCTCTGACGGAAATTTAGAGGCAAGTCACAGGACATCCTAGTGCTCTGAACAATTCTCCAAGACTATAAATTACTGAGGAGGTGACCAGTAGGGGGAGTTTCACCAGCTGGAAATCCTTTATATTAAATATACTTAAATAACAAAACCACTTCCTATCTCTAAAAAGATAAATTCCTGCTCTACATCAAAGGCAAAAAAAGACTTACAGGGCAGAATCTTACTGTAAGAATACTTTGTTAAACTGTTTAGTTATAGTATTCTTTTTCTTTTGCTGTCACACATACAAACACACATATACACACATACTGTTTTCAATTCTGTCAGGGACTAAACATCTTTTTTACCAGACCAGTTTCATTAAATACATAAATAAGACTTCTTTGCTGGTAATCACTC